TATATATATATATATACACACACACACACACACAGGTATATATTAGTTTTATATCTATCTGTGTATATTTTTATTTGATATAAGTCCTGCTGAAATTCATTTTGTGTCATCTAAACCATAAGGTACGAAGAGTTAAAGCAATTCTCAAACATTAAATAAATGAACAAACGGTGGGGAGGGGGGAGCAATCACACAATGAGAAAAGGGAAAAATACGAAATTTCATTTTTAGGAAATTTAGTTTTTTGTTTTTTTTTTTTTTTTTTTAAAGATATTTCTTCAAACAAGAGTTATGTCGCCTTTACAAGATAATTGTGTTTACCAGATACCCGGCCTCCATGTTGGTGATTTGTTTTATTTTTTTAAATGCCATGTTTACGTCTGCCATGCATGGACATTGTGAATAAACTATTGCATTGGAAAATTGAATATGTTGTCTCACAATGATTGAAACACATTCAGTAACCAGTACTTAGATGTATTGGGTTAAGAGTTACGTATAATTAAGTTGAAACTGCCTATTTGCTACATGTTGGAAACCATTTCATTGATAAGATTTACTGAATTATTTAACATTTGCTATCAGAGTTACTCTTTATAATTTCCTACCTACAATCTTTAGTTTCTTGCAATTGTTACTTGAACCTAATGAGTGGGATATATTTGAGATATGAGCAGTGATATTTACTGATTGTGAGTGCAAATACTTGCGAGATTTTTTTAAGTAAGATGATAAACCACTGCTTTTTTTTTTAACATTCAAATGGGCACCGGGCTGTTGTCAGTGGTCACTGTGACTGAAGTCTCTTTGATTGCCTTCTATCGGACAGAAAGCCAAAAAATTCTGCTCATGTTGTCTGTTTTTTTTACGGAAAAGCACTTTAAACAAAGTGGTTTGTAGGGTTTGCTAATTTGGCAGGACTGACTGTTTTTCTGTGAGCAGCAATGTTTTGTGTCAGCAGGGATACTCGTTGAAGTGTCACAGCCGCAAAAATTGACTGCTAAAAAATACAAAAGTGTTTTCCCCGCACCTGCTTTTTTCAGGTGTTTGTCCTCTCCATGCATTGAGCAAAGACACTGGCTAAAATATGAAATGTTGGGAGGCATGCACATACACAAGCATAACAATGATGAGTGATGTTCTGAAAAACAAACAAAAAACAAAAAAACCCAAAACATCTGCAATTTAACAAGGTGCACACGTTTGTCTGACCCAGCTGCTCAGAGTGCTGATGCAACTCTTCTAAGGCACCGGGATAAATTCATTGCATTATTTAAAAAAAAAAAGTATTATTTATTTTTCTTTACTTTTGCTAATATATTGCATCGAATTCAATGTAATGTGGCCATTTTCAACTATATTTCGATTACCTGCCATTACTGTAATATTAAATCTCCCAGGTTTTCTTCACGCAACAGGTGACAAACTGTCACCATCGCCGCATCAAATGCTAACGCAACAACTAACAGTTCATTGCCGAAAGTCAGGTTGAGTCCACACAATGGATATTCGACAGTTTTTTAGAAAGGTAAATTAAGTATTCAATTCATCCATGCTGGTAAAACTAGTGACTATAGTCCGCTAAAATATCTCCAGTAACAGCAGAAACTGCACTGTAACAGTTCCTGTAAGTAGCTGCTCATGTGAAAGGTCCTTTAGTGCACTGCGTCGGCTTCACTCATGGCTGCGTCAAACAATGGGTCACAAAAGACTTCAAAGTCTTGCAGTCATGTCCATTGAAAAGAACACACTTGAGCATATCAGTCACAACAGACTGATTGACCGATTTGACACTCTTAAAAACAGAAGGGCTTTCTTTGATGCTTCCACCCACCAAGTGAATGGAAAGTCTTGGAGATGGGCAGAGATGCAAAGTAACTAAGTGTAAAAGTACGCTAATTGAGTATTTTGTTTTTGATTATTTTGTTTGAGTTGAATGACTACAGTACTTCTTTTACTACTTTTACGAAAGTCATTTTTTCAACAAGTATTTTACTTTTACTTGGGTACAATCATTTAATACTTTTTGTATTATTTTATTTGTATAAGAATTTTTAACTGTGAAGAATGGCACATTGTTATATTTTTTAAAATAATTTTTGTTGGTTATAAATGTGTCAATCTTCCATTTGTTGTTGGACAGTATTAAAGCATTCAATTTTCCTGAAAGTGGAAAGGCAATATATTTATTCTAGATAGCTGTAAGTTAATTATTTTATTGCCCACTACATTCAACTGTACTGTGTTGACACAATAATGATACTTTATTTATATAACACCAAAATCACGGCAGACATCTCAAAATACATAGTCTTCTGGGGGCAAAGCATATATTAATACATTTTGGTAGAGAGGTATATAGGCCTACTGTCATATAGGTTATGTTATCGTGGTAGAGAGGAATATCGGCCTACTGTCATATAGGTTATGTTATCGGGCATCCTTCTAATTCCCTTGAACAACCAAGATTGAACTTTTGAACTCTTTAAATTTCTATTATCTAGTCCAGTTAAAGTCCAGGGGAGGAAGCCCCATCATAGTAAAGAGGATACTAATGTGATGTGTGTAGTTCTTCATAGCCTCTTCATTTTGCTCTCAAAGTGCACGGAATTGATGGATTTTTAATAGAATGTAGAAAAAAAATTCTGCCGGGGGGGGGGCATGCCCCCGGACCCCCGAAAGAGGCCGTGTTCCCCTTGGGGCTAAGCCCCCCATGTTCTTGAAACCTAGTGACGCCCCTGGCAAGAACTCCAGTTTATCAATAGACAAAAGTATCTGTCAACAAATGTCCTCTTCTTCTTTTGTAGAAATCATTTGATACCATCAGTCGCATGTCAATGTTAAAGACAGTCTGGATTTCAAAAGCCAGTGCTCTTCAACGAAGTGGAAGGTAACAACAATGATGTCCATATTCAGAATTAGTTTTAGCAATCGCAGTTCCAGTGGTGAGCTAACACAACTCTGTTGTTTTCAAATGTTGTCTCTCCTCAAGTTAGTTTCATGCTGCAATTTTATGGAACATAAAATTCCAAAGGCACAGTAACTTCTTACAAGTACAATCAATCCAAAAAGCTAGTGCTAAACTAAAGATCCGTTGCACATGGAATCAAAACTTTCTGCTCCTCAGATTGTGTTTTGTTTGAGCTACATTTGAAATACGGTGGTACCTCTACTTAATTACGTATTTTTTTTAAATGTATGTCTCAAACAATGTCACAAAGTGCGTTTGCAATTTAACTCAAGACGGCAAGTTTTAGTGTTTATGTTTCACATGTAAAGATGGCCCCAGTCATCTTAAACTTGTGTGCAGTGGTACCGCTACTTACGAATTAATTGGTTCTGGAAAAAAATTCTTGGCTAGAAAATTTTGGAAGCAGAGATGCGTTTTCCATGTAAATGCCCTAATCCATTCAAAGCCCCTCCAAAATTCTGACATTTATGTTTTCTTAAGCATAAAAATGCATCAAAATAAGTAACGAATACATGTTACAATTAGATTATTGCCCAATAAATGAGAGTTGTGCATAATGTAAAAAACAAAGAAGAGAGTAAAGAATAAAATTGGTGGTCATTTAACTTGTAACTGCGCCCTCATCGTTTTTTGCCCTCTTTAATTCATGTTCAAGTGGTTTTGCCTGGCGTTTTGTAAATAACCTATCCAAGGACGTTTGCTTTTGTTGGCTTCAAAATTGTCCAAGGCAAACATCAGCATCGTGAACGATCACCCGACGGGTTAACACTTTTTCTGGGTGACAAGGATGCTGCATAGACACATATATATCTTATTTATCCATCTAAACACATAGACACATCCGGTAGAGGTCCCTCTTAGCCAATGGGATGCCAGGAAGATATTAACAGCCAATGGCAGAGGAGCTATAAGTATGTTGCGTTCAGGAAACTCGGAGTTGCGAGTAGCAGCCCATACTATATTTTTACCTTTCGTATCTTCAAATTTCTTTTGTAACAAGAGGCAATATTTTCCTGTTGAGGCGTTTCGTAACTTGAACATTTCATATGAAGAGACGTTTGTAAGCAGAGGTACCACTGTAGCTGTGTCCATTTACTCAGTGACAAAAAGTAAGTGTCTGACAATACGGAACAAGGAACTGAAAATCGAGTATGTCCACAGAGCGAGGCGCTGCCAACCAGGGATTTGCTTCCACCTCTTCAGTCAACTACGGTTCAACAATAGAGTATCAGGTTCCACAGCTGCGACGGATGCCTCTGCAGGTAGAACCCATTTTCAATTTTGGTATCAAAAAGTGAGGTTTGTTGCTGTGACGACCGTATATGACTATTGTGCCCATGTCCAAACATGCTGGATACACAGAACCATAAACACCATAATTGAACTCAGGTCAAGTTCAAGCCGTCACGTTGCTGTTGTCAGAATCAGAATACCGTAATATTAATTGAAGCAAATAGAGGGATTCTGGGATCTTTTCACCCATTTCTTTATAAAATATGCATTTTATATAGAAACCACCATAAAATGAAAAAATATTCATAAAATGAAAAAAATAATCGAAATTTAAAAGAAAAGAATAAATACACAGTTCATGATTTAAATGAAATTCCGATATATTGTACCTTTCTATGATATCGTGTATATAACAGGTGCAAAACTCAAGGCTTGCGGGCCAGATTTGGCCCACCACATCATTTTATGTGGCCCGCAAAAGCAAGTCATGTGCCTCAACTTTCTTGATCCTTGCTAAAATCTGGACCGAAATGTCAAATTGTAATGAATTATGTTGGGATTTTGCGATAATTTTGTTCCCCTGTTTACACTCACTTGAACAATACTTCAACAAACAAAATAGTTGACTTATTTCAAAACTAGTAATTCATCAGTTTGTTGTGTCCAAGTAATTATATGATGTGATGTTTAAACATTTACAATATTTGGTTTCACTGTCATAATGGCCCTCGAAGGGAAGATGTAACTTCAAAATGGCCCACGACAAAAAAATGTGTTTGACACCACTGATATGTATCATTACATTGTTCAACTGTAATTCTAAGGGAAGAACATGAGTATGTTTTATCTGAAATAACATAATATAAACTTATAATTAGCAATTGCATATACATACATGGGCGGCCCGGTAGTCCGGTGGTTAGCACGTAGACTTCACAGTGCAGAGGTACCGGGTTCAATTCCAGCTCCGGCCTCCCTGTGTGGAGTTTGCATTTTCTCCCCGGGCTTACGTGGGTTTTCTCCGGGTACTCCAGTTTCCTCCCACATTCCAAAAACATGCATGGCAGGCTAATTGAACCTCGGTGTGAGTGTGAGCACGAATGGTTGTTCGTCTCTATGTGCCCTGCGATTGGCTGGCAACTGGTTCAGGGTGTCCCCCGCCTATTGCCCGAAGACAGCTGGGATAGGCTCTGTCACGATTCGGTTTCTGGTCTGACCAGCAGGTGGCATGTGCGGTCTTCTGTGCCCACCTGCTGCCAATCCAGTCATTATGGGACCATGTATTTAAGGACTCTGCTTCAGTTCACCTGTGTCGGAGTATTGATTATTGCCTTGCTGTTTCCATGCTCTCTGACCACTTTGCTATAGACATCGTCGTGTACACGCTTTTGGATACTCCCGGTAACATTGTTCTTGTTCTTATGGCTTTGTTTTGTGAATTGGCTTTTTCTTGCGTGTAGTTGTTACATTGTTTTTCGTTTGTATTCTCGGTACTAGTTTTCCTCTCTTGCCTTTTTTTGCAAGCGCTTTTTGTTATTCGTTTTTGTTTTGTTCTTCCTGGTCCTTGTTTGGACCAGCGCTTTATGTTCTACTTTGTCGGTGCGAATTTTTGTATTAAACATTTTTGTAACGGAGACCTTGTTGGAGTCTGCACTTTTGGGATCCAAACTTATTTCGGCTCGTCCGAAACCTTGACAGGCTCCAGCACCACCCCGCGACCCTAGTGAGGATCAAGCGGTTCGGGAGATGAATGAGTGAATGAATATACATACATTTAAAATCCAAATTTTACAGTGGAAGATGAAAAACAGCAAACAATTGTCTCCGACCTGGATGGAACCTAAATGATAAAATTCCTGAGCAAGGCATTCAATTTTTTTTCATCTGTCATGTTGTGTGTGTGTGCGCGTGTGTGTGTGTGTGTGTGTGTGTGTGTGTGTGTGTGTGTGTGTGTGTTTTTTAGGAATTGTGTCTGCAGACCAAATTGCTGACTCCCTCTCTAGTATCAGAGTTCTTGTCCAAAGCTCCACAACCTCCTACCGCGCACGCTGTAAAAAGTGCTGTGCAGATGCTTAAGGTCAGGAATGTTAACTAATGATGATTGCTTCACAATGCACCACACCCACACCCACACATGTTATATTGTTTCGACCTGGTCTTTTTCATCAGACAATAGATGCAATGAACCAGAATGAAGACCTGACTGCTCTTGGCTTCCATCTGGCCGATCTACCTGTTGAGCCCCATCTGGGAAAGATGGTGCTCTGTGCTGTGGTGTTGAAGTGTCTCGACCCCATTTTGACAATTGCCTGCACACTCGGTTATCGGGACCTCTTTGTTCTTCCTGTCCAGGGCTCTCAGAAGAGAGCTGCTCTTCAGTGCTGTAAACATTATTCTTCCAACACCTTCAGTGACCAAATGACCATGCTGAGAATTTTCCAGGTACTTTAAATTGTCTTTTGAGCACCCAATTCAACACTGACTCATGTACAATAGGTATTTGTATGGAATATTATTCATAGTGTGGGAGCTTTTTCATTTATTTGCTGTAGTTTCCACTCTATAAGGCGTACCTAAAAGCATTCAATTTTCTCAAACACCGACAGTGTGCCTTTTAATCCGATGCGTTTTATATGTGGATCAATATTCTGATTTCTTGTCTCTTAAATGTTCTGTAAAATGCTTTGTTACAGCTGCAGCGGTTGTGAAAACTCTATATAAATAAAGTTGTATTTTATTTCCTTCAGTGTACCCGTATCTAGTGGATGCATAACACAACCACAGCCACTATTCTAGCTTCTATGCTCTTTATAATGTGTTACGCCCTGAATATGAAAACTGTTTTAAAATAGGGCGGCCCGGTAGTCCAGTGGTTAGCACGTTGACTTCACAGTGCAGAGGTACCACGTTCAATTCCAGCTCCGGCCTCCCTGTGTGGCGTTTGCATGTTCTCCCCGGGCCTGCGTGGGTTTTCTCCGGGTACTCCGATTTCCTCCCATGTCCCAAAAACATGCATGGCAGGCTGATTGAACACACTAAATTGTCCCTAGGTGTGAGTGTGAGTGCACATGGTTGTTCGTCTCTGTGTGCCCTGCGATTGGCTGGCAACCGGTTCAGGGTGTCCCCCGCCTACTGCCCAAAGATGGTTGGGATAGGCTCCAGCACCTCCCGTGACCCTAGTGAGGATGAAGCGGTTCGGAAGATGAATGAATGTTTTAAAATAGGCCATTCATTGAAGGTATCCCTAATACTCCGAAGCGCCTTATAGTGCGGAAAATATTAAATAATATATAAAATATATTTATTTATGTTTTGTCATATGCTGTTGGGACATTTTTATCAATGGGCACATAACAATGTATAATTTTTGCCAAGCCTCTAAAGTATATGCTGTCCTGACATGACATTGCTTTTGGTTTGTCAGGCATGGCAGAAGGCTCGCAATGATGGCTTGGAGAGGTCCTTCTGCGAAAAGAACTTTTTGTACAATGCCACCATGGACATGATTCTTGGCATGCGGACACAGCTGCTGAGACAGCTTCGTGCAACTGGTCCGTTCTAATTTACACTAAAATCTTCAAAGGCCCCCAGTGTTTGTTTCTATGCATTTCTTTGAATTGGCATCCTGAAATATTTGAATCTATTGAAGTGGAATGAATTCTCCTGACATTATTCCCATTTTTCCTCAAGGCTTTGTGAGGGCCCACGGAGAAAGTGATGTACGTGGTGTGAACATCAACTCAGAAAACTGGGCAGTGGTGAAGGCGGCCCTGGTGGCTGGCATGTACGCAAATCTGCTTCATATTAACCCTGAGACAAACCTGCCCTCTAGTAATAAGGAGAAGAAAGTCAATTTTCACCCTACGTCCACATTGAATCAGTCCCAGAACAAGGAGGTATGTAGATGAAGTTACTGTATTCTTTTGGAACAAAATAATTATTTCGGTGGGTATGGATGCAAAATACAAACATCTTTCATACGGCAACCTGTCAAATGGTTGAATCACGTGGCTTAGTCTGAAACAGGGCCAGATCCCATTTGGACATTTGCGAAAAACAGTGTGGGCAGTGAATCTGCAAATTTGTTTTGAGTAAAAGTTGACTTTATGTTTGACTTTAATTTCATCTCACCTGGAACATGAAGGATAAAGTGGACGTTTGTGGCGAGAGTACAAGTCCATCCATGCAACGGGTTCATTTGTTACCCGCGGCAGTGATGTGACATCATTTTTAGTCGCCTCATATCTCCCAAATAGTTTTACCTCCACCCACCTCACTACTGTCAATCTGAGATAAAATGAGGCCCTACGCATGGGACCATACACTTTTTTTGTTTTGCACATTACAGTACTTGACATGCTTTGTGTGCTTCCGTGTTAAATCGTGGATGGGTTCCGTTCACATTAGGAGTGGCAATTTGCTTTTGTAGTGTGAGTGAGTACATAAAAAGATCAGATTTCACAAAAATTCCAAATTGGACATCATGCACTATAATGTGAATGTAGCTTAATGGTTGAAGCTTTGTAGGTGGAATTTTTTCCCCATTCTTGTTTGCGTTCCAACTGAATTTGCTCAACAGTTCGGGGGACTCTGTTGTATTTTGGAGCACGTTGCAGGCATCAAATTCAAAATGACAATATCTGGAAAAAAAAAAAAGAAGGAAACTGACAATGAGTTTTATCATCAAATATCATTAACTTTGTGGGATATTCAGTTGAATATAGGTTGAAAAACATTCGCAAATCATTGTATTGATGAGTGGCTCATCTTCCAGACAAACAGTGAGGTATGGAGAAATTGACATTAACTATCTTTCAATATATGCTATAAGAGTGTACAAAATAATTTGTCTACAACTATGTTAACAACTGTTAGACTGAATTCTAGAGACAAATAATCAATAAATTTATCAAAGGACAAATGCTATTCACGCTCCATAACTACACCGGTTGATTTTTTTGTAAATTAAAATTGTTTGAAATGATATATCAATAATAAGTGATAGCATTCGTAGCCATTTGACTGGACCACCCCAACCTGAGTCGCCACACACTTATGCCTTCTATATTTAACATGAGTGTACAACTGCACTGCAAAACCTAAACTGTTTCACCCACTGTCTTGCTGCAAAATTGGACGCAGCTCTCGATGTAGCCCCATGACACTGCAAACAACATATGCAACCGCCAATTATTGTGAAATGAATTCCTCTGTCCGGAATAACTGAGCCAAATGGTATTTGCACATTGAAAGACTTATGCAGTTCTTGTTTTTGATCTCATTAAATTCAACATGTTTTTTTTTTTTTTTTGTCAAAACATTGTTTTAAATTTGCCATCTATTTATTGCTATTCAGTCTTCCACTGCCCTAGTCCTGGTTCGCCGCTCTGGAATTCATGTATTTGAAAATTCAACAATTGGCAGAATTTAATGGTGAACCCATCCTCTGTCAATCATTGTTTCCGAGCTCTTTCTGAAACACCCAAGATGTCCCAAGATAGCGCCTAACCCTACCCAAGCCCTGTATGCACATATGAAAAGTCATCCCAGCTACATTCACATTGCAGGGAGTGATGCCCGATTCAGATTTTTTAAGTGTTTTGATGTAGTCGTTCACATTACCAAACAAGTGTGAATTTTGATGTGAATGGAATGCATCCATGAAGTGACAGCAGTGGGGGGCCGTGCATTTCAACCTTAGGCCTTCAGTGACGTCACATACATACACAATACTGTCTGTATAGGCTCGTCAATCAGCACTTAATTTGAGGAGCATTTAAAACCATCAAGTATGCATTCACATTTAAGAGCAGGAAACTACATTTACAGATAGTCACAAATAAAAAGATGATTTAAAAATACGAAATAAAATGCCACCTAAATTACGCTGTGTGATCTTAAACAAGTCTGTCCAATAAATTGCGCAATGTCGCAGTTTCATATAAGACACCAACCAAACAATAACAAAACAAACTGTTCTTTGAAAATAAAGTAAACAGATCATTTGCATTTTGAAAATCGATGATACAACAGCAAATAACTGACATAACTGACTAACTAATAACTGACTAACAGCTGAGATTGAACGAACTTTCGTGCACGAAGGTGACTACAATGCGCCATTATAAATTGCAGGTGAGCAGATTTATTTGATACATGTTTGTCATTTTATTTCGTTACCATGAATTTAATACTAACGAAATAAAATGACAAGAAGAAATGTAAAATAAAATTCATT